AGGGTCAGAGGGAGGCTCTGGTGAATTACAAGACTCACAGTTTGATGAAGAACCTGGGCCCTCCATTCATGTTCCTGATAAAGCTCAGCTGTGTGAGGAGAATGAGTCAGACTTGAAGCATTCACACCTGATGGACATGATGATTGATGCTCGTAGACACCGGCAATTAGCTAGAGCAGATCAGCAGCAGTCAATACAACTCCAGGGGAGTAGGAGAAGGCACTGAGAGGCAACGCCTTGGGACTGCTTTATAAAAAGGGAAGGTGTGGGCGGTGCTGGTTGCTGAAGGCAACCGTTGCAAAGTATTTCATGGGATGATGTTCTGGTGACTACTTCTCTGCTTTGTATGGTTTCGTGTGGACAATTTCCTCCATTTGGATTGTGTTTGCTGCTTTTGTTTCTGGACTATTTGGCAGGTTGGTTATCCATATTAAAAGAGATTTGTTTTCTTTTGAATCTCCAGCCTATTTTCTCAAAAGGGGTTTTGTCCTTGTGCCTTTAACAAGGACAGCCATAGGCTGGGATAGGACACCTTCCAGGAAATGGCGCTATATGGCTAATGCCCACCTCATGGCAAATGCCTCCTTCTCCCATATTGCCCATCCTCACTCGACATTGGTCAATTTACAAGAGGTGAACACACACGGTTGCAAACTCCCCTGCTCATTCCTCTGTAACAGTACCGCCCTTACTGCTACATCGCTAGTGTCCGTTTGTACAATAAAGGGGTTCTCTGGGTTAGGATGTCGTAGAACTGGCTCCCTTGAAAACAAGACTTTTAAGGTCTCAAATGCCTGTTGGCACTTAAGCGACCAGGATAACGTTTGGTTCGACTGCGTTTTGCTTCCCGTGACTTTAGTAAGGAGTAACTCCATTAATGGCAGGGCCACTGTGGCAAAAGACAGAACGAATTGCCGATAAAAATTCGCGAAGCCGAGAAAGCTCTGCAGTTGGCAATGCGTTCGTGGAACTTGCCAGTCCAGGACAGCTTGCATTTTCTCTGGGTCCATCTCCACCCCCATCCCTGATATTCTGAACCCAAGGTAGTCCAACCTCGTTTGGTGGAAGGCACACTTGGACAACTTGACATACAAGTGTGCATGTAGGAGCTTGCGCAGAACCTGTCGGACTAACCACATGTGATCTACCTCGTTGGCTGAATAAATGAGAATGTTGTCCAACTACACGAGAACCCCTTGATACAAATGCTCATGCAGTACTTCATTAATTAGATGCATGAACACTGCAGGAGCCCCCTGCAACCCGAACCGCATCACCCGGTATTGGAAACTCCCAAATGGACTGTTACACGAGGTCTTTCATTCATCCCCCTCTTTTATGCGTACCCTGTAATACGCTTCCCACAAGTCAAGCTTCGTAAAAATCTTTCCTTTGGCTAAATGGACCAGGAGGTCTTTCATGAGTGGAAGGGGATATAATTTCTCCACACATACCCCACTGAGACCCCGGAAGTCTACACAGAGGCGAAGTGTCCCGTCTTTTTTTTCTTTAAACAGGACAGGAGCCGCAACCCGCAATCGAGCAGGTTGGATGAAACCCCTTGCCAAGTTCTTATCTGTATATTTCCTCAACTCAGCCATCTCTTTTGGTGTCATAGCGTACATCCGGTGCTTCGGGAGTTTTGCACCTGCCATGATGTCGATGGTACAATCAGTTAAACAATGAGGCAGTAATACATAACATTCCCATTCGTCAAACACTTCGGCGAGATCGGTGTATTCTGATGGAAAAGCAACATCCCCCTTCTCCCTATTTGCTTGTTTATTCTCACTCTCCTTCCCCTTCGGATCTGCTTATAGGGTGGTGGCTGGGGACTCACACCAATCCAAACTCTCCGGTACGCACTCTCCCACCAGATCATCGGACCCCACTTATCCAACCAGGCTAGTCCTAATATGACGGCCTCCATCATTGAGGGGACTACCACGAAACGAATCACCTCCCAATGTTTTCCCAATTCCATCCGCATGGTTCTGTAAGATACGTGGCAGGCACCCCTCCCAGTAGGGACCTGTCCACCTGTTCAAACTGTACTGGTTTGCACAAGGGCCTCACTCTAATGCCTACTTGTCGTACTGTGTGCTCACTAATCAAACAACAAGTACATTCAGTGTCAAGGAGGGCGTTATACTGTCTTCGACACCCCGAGTGTGCACTAGCTAATACAACAGGGAGACTGAATGGATGCATGGGTTCACTTACCATTGGATCTTCAGGCACTCCCGCGTCCTCGTACACGACCAGCTGGGGTCCCGCCACACTGGTCACGTCCTCAGGTTTTGACCGCTCCCCTCGGAACACGGACCCCTCAACCTGTTGTACCATCCACGATTTTTCTGGGTTCCTCGGTGTACCTTTCGCAGGGAACTCCTTCCTTCCTTTGGGTGCTGGCTCGGGACATTCTGCAGAACAGTGCCCCGGTTGCAGTGAAAGCAGCAAAACGTCGGATGAGGCGTTCCGACCGGTGTACCAGGCACTGGCCCTGGAGGCTTGATTGCTCGATGCTCCTATGTGGCCCCATTGGACCGTCACCCCTTGGACGGAATTCTTGTAGACCTGTGTCCAAGTCCATTACCACCCGGAACCACTCCTGCAGCCTACTCGGGATCCCACAGTATACACACGCCTGTCGGAGATCCCTATCCAGCCCTGCTCGAAATTGGTGCACCAATAGGCGTTCTGGCCAAGTACGTAACTTACTGGCAATTAGTCTAAAGTCCCAGATGTATTCTGCAGTGGGTCTGCCTCATTGCTTAATCCCCAGCAATTTCCCTTCTGCCCGCTGGATTCTGGACACATCCTCGAAGCGGGTTCGGAGGGCACTCAGAAATGACCCAACATTAGCCAGTTCCCAGGCATCGTCACTATGCAAGTTGGCCACCCATTCCACAGCCTCCCCCTGTAGGGCTGCTGTCACCGCCTCTACCATGGCCCACTGGGATGGATAAAGATGGCCGTAGCAATCCATGTGGCCTATCGTCTGGCTAAGGAAAAGGGCCAACCGGTCCGGGTTCCCGTTGAAGGTAATTATAAGGGGTGGAGGACCCCAAACGAGTCCCTGGGGCTATGTACCCACAACCCATCCTGGCCCAGGCGAAGGACCTACCAGGGACCTCGCTCCAGGGACTACTGTATCCGCTCCCCTTGGGATTGGGGCCCCGAGGCCTGGCTCAGATCCCCTGGAAGGAGCCATTAGGGGAACAGACGACGGTCTCCTGGTTCCCCCCATCCGTTGCCTGTCCATTGGCCGGTTGGGCCCTTGACTACCAACCCTCCCCTGGTATACATCACCCCCATAGCTGGTATCCAGTTTCAGCTTTGGACTTGTCAACCGAAAGCGTCCCATAGCTGGCTGTGCAGAGGAGGAACTGGCCTGTGACCAAGAGGTTGTTTCCGCACCCGGGTTCCACTGTTGCCAGGCAGAAGAGTCCTGATACCCCACTTCTCCGAACTGCTCGTGTAAGATGTCCATTGTGGTTTGCCCATGAGCTGTGGCATAGCTCCAGTCCTCCTCATCTTCCTCCGTTACGCGTCACTGCAGCCACTGAGACGACAATCGGCCCTCCTCCCCAGGCCCAAGGCTGTGGCCCTGCATCATCCCAGTAATTGCTGGGCTATGCCATCATTCCCCCGACAGGGCGTTTCCACCTGTTGTAGCCACTTGGGGCCCTGGGATGTCACTTGACTGGTCCACCGGACTGGGCTCCACCACCTTAGGATGTACCACTGGCTGATCAGCAACCGGAGGGTCCACCTCTGATGCCCCTGCTGGTGCCGCCTCAGGGTCTGCCCCAACAGGAGCCACCTCCTGAGTGTCTTCTGCCATAGCTCAGAACAGACAGACCAACCAGGCTGGGTCCAATGGCTCCAGGGGGAAAAAGAAAAAGGAGAGGCACAGGAAACACGGTGGGGTTGGGAAAAAGTAAAGGGGGTTCAGCGCGAACTTTCTGTCAACAATCCTACCAGACTCCTGGGTAAAGAAGGACGTGAAGGCAAACAGACTCAGGAAGCAGCGGTTTTACTTTAAGGCATCATTGGCAACAGCACAGACTTACAGCACAAAAGATCCTTGCTGAACAAAGTTTGTGCTGGGAGCAACCACCTCTCAGTGCAGGTTAAATGCACTTGCTTCAGTGCCACCCCACCCTCCAATCACCCAGCAACCCCACCCTCCAACCACCCAACCAGCATCTGGCTGTAGTTAGTCCAAAGTGCAGCAGCTGTCCCAGCTTGACCCCCTCCCTCCTGTTCATCTGTGCGATCTTCGGCCTTCTGGGAAGCCCCGCCCTGATAGCACGGCTCTCCCATTCGTCAGCTGTCTGGCTGCCGCTCGTTAATTGTCCCAGTGTCTCCACCACATGGGCGTGGCTCCCAACATCATCTGGTGTTCCGCTTGGCATCTGCTGCACAGCAACCGCCCGTCAGCTGTCTGGCAGTTCAAACACCCCCCCCCGAGCACCGCCGCTGGAACTGCTTCGCCGAGAAAGTTGTGATGGCCCAGACAGTGAGCTGCTTTGCCGAGACAGTGAGCTGCATGGAACTGGTGTTGGCCGTCCTCTCCCCCAACGTGCTGTCCTTCACCTTCCCCCCTCCTGTATGTCAAGCCTGGGAGGGCTTGACACCTACTCTGAGTACTATAGAATGTGTATTTAGATCGTATTAGGCAACAAGAATGCAGTACTTCAAACCAGCTTTCAGATTTTGAATGGGTTTCACTCTGGATTTCAGCATGAGCAACACTGGAATAAGTTTGATTTTCTTAATTCTAATCAATAAGGGTTCAGAAAATGCTATGTTGTTTCATATACGATTTTAAATTCTTGACTACTCTCATTATGAATGAGAATTTTCATTTGAGTTTCATATAAATTGATATAATTTACTGCTCAAAAACTATATACCTAACAGAACAAATATCAGTAAAATTGATTTCCAACTTTAAAAATAAATGATGGGATATGTATCTGACACTTTTTTAGATGCCATTTTAAATATGGTGAATATTGCTGCTAATATACTTGGAGCAAAAACTGAAGAGGACACTGCAGAACAAGGTAGGCAGTTTATGGAATAAATTTTAAATGGCTTTAATTCTGTTTAGATGGATTTTCTCTCTGTTTTGCATAATAATAAAAACTCTGAAATTAATTGTAAGAAATTAACATTTTTTACCTTATTTTTATTCAACAGGATATAAAGTAAATAAACAAACAGCTTTTCATTTTAAAAAACGATCTGAAGTAATAATAAAACAATAAGTACAGTAAAAAATATTAGGGAAATATTTAGCAATTGATTAACAAACCAATAATTTAACCATAGCAATTAAAATCACCTCAAAAAGAGTGCAGCTATCTATGGACCAAAAACATTTACAGAAAGAAAGCTTTTAATATATGTTAGTCCCACTAGCTCAACCAGACCAGAAAATCAACTCCACAGGATGACTAGAATTGCACTATAATAGAACCTTGCAAATCCACTTGTGCTTTTAATACCCCAGTATTATTTGTCTAAGCCACTTCTGAATGTTATCTTGCTTCCCAAGACTTCTGTCTTGGGAAGCAATGTTTCTGTCAGAATCCAATTATACTTCATCTCCAGTTATCAATTATAGAAAACCCCATTTCTGCCCTCTCTGGATTCTGTCATACAAGAAAGGGAAGGTGGTGAACAAAGGGGCTTTATGGCCCTCACTTCCTTCGGTACAACTTCAAAGGGATTGAATGTGGATAGCACCAAAAGGCTTTATCATAACAAAGGAGGCTATTTACCTTTCATGTAGTTTTCTCTGAGGTCTCCATCCAGCCGGCAGAAAGGAAAAGGGGGTGGGATTGTGATGCCTGAAACTGTCACTGGAAGAGGGGGGTGATTGGGTGGGACTACTGGGGAACCCCTTAAACCTCGAATGGGAGAGCTTGGACCCCAAGTCCTGTCTAGAACGCCTGCAACCATTTTCTCTTAATAAAGGATTCCTGTTGGAAGAATTATTCCAAGAGTTCTGTCTTCTTAAGATGCAAAGTGGGGTGGGTCCTTACAGTTTCAGCTTTCTTTGCCTAGGTAACAATTCTTGCATATTTCCCCTCACTCTCTACAGACCATGCCCTGTGAGAAGGAGGCAAAATGAGTTTTCTTTGAAAGATGTCCATTCAGGACATGGAATTGAGACAATTATTGATTATTTGTGTACCATCTAGATCTTCTGTAGTGAGAGAACGTGTAAATCTTACATAAATAAATATTACACATTGAATAGTATACTAGTAAATTAAAAACAAATAATTTCTTCTGAAATCACAATCCAGTTCAGTGGAATTTCATATAATTAAACTGTATGTCTTTTCAATAGGAAACAATGTTTCTGAAAACACAACTCCCACTTCCAGAGAAACATCCAATCTACCAGAACCAACCACTGTTCCTTCTTTAGAGTAAGTAATGTGTGCTAGATGATTAGGCTAATCTGAATGTGGTTTGGAAAATTAAAACTCTAAAGGAAGATTAAACTGAGACTCTGTTTGCTTATGCAAACAGTTTTCTTTTCATTCTGAAAATATGAAAGCTAGAAAACTGAAAAATGGAAATGGAGAATAGGTTTTTTTTTCCCTGAAACATTCCTTCCACAAGTAAATTGAAAAACTTAATTATGAAATATATTCTAATATTTTCATTCTAACTTGTGTGTAAAATGGTTCAGATACAAAAAGAGCTTATGCTTAGAAATATATCAAACAAAAAACTCATGAATAAGTGAAAGAACATTAATTTCTTTAACCACTTTTTTTAAAGGATATACTAAAGTGCACATTTATTCTATTAATTTTTCAACCTGTGTTTGTAGACTTGTTTCTCCAGAAATACCAGCGACTGAAAATGAGATGTTAGTTTTGGAAATTACAGGAGAGAGACCAATTGTTCAGCTTGTTCATGAATATGAAGAAGAAGTCAGTCAGTCCACCGTGACCCTGCTGCCAAGTGATGAACAAGAAGAGGAAGTATCATGGTTTGAGCATGAAACACAGATCTATTGTTACAATCTGACTGCTGCTTGTTGTATTTCTCGTTTTTCAGAGTATGTATTCAAATGGTGTTCAGCAATAGCAGTTCTCCATCCTCCCTGCAATAAAACTGATAGCATTTTGGAAAAACATAATTCTGCTACTGTTTCACAAATACAACTAGTTCCAACCAAATCATTGCATACTTTGGTGCATGAGCAATCTTCAGAAAAACCAGATGCCTTAATTATAGACTTATCTGAAATGGCAGTAGGTGTTCTAAGCAGTGTATTAAATGAGGCTACAATTAATCAGACTGAAGTTACTTTTGAACTGGAGCCTAGTCATCCACAGACTGTATCACAATCCATCCTCTTAGATGTTACAACAGGAACCAGATCACCATCTATAGTAGAGGTGTCCTCTGAGCCTACAAAATATGAAAATGTATCTGAAAATCCAGAGATCCTTTCCCAAGAGGAAATCCTTGCTGAAGAAAACAGACTTGTAGTATCTGTTACAGACAAACCTCCTACACCAAGTATTATAACTGAATTCAAGGTGTTGAACACAGAAGAAAAAACCTCGATGGAAACTACTTCAAAGCCAACAGAAATTGTTTTACAGTCCGAATGTACAGTAGCCATAGAAAGCTATGGTGTGGAAACAAAAGTTAGTTCTTCGGAAACAGAAAAGCAAGAAGTGTCACTTGTGGAATCATCTTCTTTGGAAATAAAAGATGATGAGCAGACTACTGAGGAAACATTTCTTGCAATTTCAGTTTCTGGTGGGTTGCCAAGAACTGCCACAGACTTTTATGCTGAACTACAGAATTCCACAGATTTAGGCTACACAAATGGGAATCTTGTTCATGGGTCAAATCAAAAAGAATCTGTGTTTATGAGACTCAATAATCGCATAAAAGCTCTGGAAGTAAATATGTCTCTGAGTAGCCGCTATTTAGAAGAACTAAGTCAGAGGTATGTACAGCAATGGAATTCTTATTGTCTGATTTTTTTTTAAAAAAAATGAAATATATGTCACATGGCCACATTGCTGAGCAACAGAAATCCAGGCAGTCCTAGTTGCCATCATAATATGAGGCATGCAGTTGTTAAGGGGGAAGCAGAGGGGGTCTCAGGTAAGGAAAGCAGAAGTGCCATAGAGGGTGGAGGAGGCCTTGGGAGGCCCTGTGCAGCTGCATACAAGTTGAGGAGGGAGGTGCTGCAGAATAGCCCAAGCTCAGGAAAAGCAGGAGAAAGAGAGTGCAATGTATGGAAGTAAAAGGGGGAAAAGAACATGGTACATGTGGGAGCAAATGGGGGAAGAAAGGCACAGAGCATGCATTGTGCAAGAAAAAGGGGAAGGAAGGTATGATATGTCTGTGAGCAAAGGAGGGATGGACGGCAGAGGGCTTGGAAGATATAGTGTGTGCGAGCACAGAAAGCTGCAGGGGAGAAGATTTACCTGAGTGAAGTGCAGCCTTGTCTGCTTGTTTTCCCATTGATTTTGCTTGTTGGAAGCCAGCTGGGAAAGTCACAAATGGAAATCACGTGTTTGTGGGATGCTGTAACCAATAAGTGTGAACTGATTGCCAAGTATCCCAATTTTGTTCACATGACTGTGGAAGTGCTGCAACAGCTGGAATTTTGAGGGCTTGCAAAGCAATTGAACAGTCGCTGAACAAATGGCCATTGAGGACTGTAATTAGTAATGCATAGAGAAATTAATTTGTATAAAGTTTTAAATAAGAATACAAGGAATATACATGCTACTTGGGGGACTTGGTGTTAAAAAATAATTTATGTTAATTGTGCATGATGGTCTCAGAAATCAAGGAAGAATAATTTTATTCTGATGGCCAAAATTTCTTTTATGTATAATTGTAAAATCATCATGCAAAGCATCTTTGGGTACCGTCCCAAAAATAATTTAAAACCAACAATCCTTTCCTTGGAAGGAAAGATGTGCTCATCGGTTGAGCAGCCTTACAATGTTTTTTAAAAGGGTTGAGGGTTTGTTTTGTTTCTCTAATTGTGCAGATATAAGGATGACTAAATGAAATTGGGAAGAGATGAGAAATGATAGTAAGATTTTCTTTTACTTTGTAGGTATCGAAAGCAAATGGAAGAAATGCAGAAAGCTTTTAATAAGACAATAATAAAACTTCAGAACACTTCATGCATAGCAGAACAGCAGGTGTGCAGAAACCTATTTTTTGTTATCTGTAACTTAATGGTTTTGAAATTAAAGAAACAAGTTTATTTTACAAGTAGTCCCTGAGTTATGATGGGAATTGGAGCTAGGTTTACTGTCACTAAGCAATGCAGTTATAAAGCATGTGGTAACATGACTGCATCACTTAACAATAGAAATCCTGGCACACTCAAGGTCCTTAGGATCTATAGCAGGCTTCTTAAAGAAAAAGTGACAGTGATTTACTGGAGTGATTTGCTGGCTTCCCCATTGACTTGCTTTTGGGAAGTTGGTAGGGAAACTGACAAAAGATTATCACATGACCACAGGGATGCTGCAAGAGCCAGAACTTTGAGGATTGATCATAAGTCAATTTTTTCAGCACTGCTGTAACTTTGAATAGTCGCCAAACAAATGGATATACAAAAGGCAATTTTTGCAATATCAAGAATAGCTGATACTTCTTTATTATCATTTAATGAATTTCTTATTAATAAAAAATTAAGACCACCTTTATTTATCTACTATATTAGCATGACTAAGTCAGTTTGTGTTTAGTTTTAGGGGAGACTAGACAACCCGTGACCTGTTGGGTAATCCTGTCAGAGATATTTCTTTACCAAATTCTTCAAAGCCTTCAATAGTTATAGAACTTCTAATATAGTGCCTTCACTGGACAAGTTGGGATATATTCAGAGATGTATCTGCCTTGAAAATAGCCCATGTTGCATAGTCAAACATCAGCACAGGAATTGTTTTATGACATTTAGTATTACATCATAAACTACTTTATGATAATGCTTGTCATAAAATATTTCATAATTTTTTTTCAAATGTCAATTCCATGGGAGTTATAGGTTCTAAATTTTGGACATATTCTTTAATTTAGCCCATTTGATATATTTTGGTTCAAAATAGACAGGAAATTGCTTACAATTTCTTCTTCCCCTTCTTTCTTTACAAAGCAGAGAGACTGGAGAAGAAGGGATTGTAAAAGAGAAAGGCGTACAATGGAGAATATACCAAGCTGTTTGTGTAGTACATGTGACTGCTGGCACCAGCATATTGCTTTTTTTGTGTCTTCCCCAATATGTGCCTCCTTATTCTCATATAGTCCCTTCCTCTCCAATTGATGTAAATATTAATTCCCTTTTTGTTAATTATCCCAGCATCCCGATGAACATTCCAAAAGGCAAAGGAGTTAGGACACAAGCAAAAGCCAAGATTTGAAATTGTTTAATCTTGTCAATATCAAGCCAGAAAGGACAGTTGTGGTCACTGATTTCCCACTTACCACATGATGTTGCCAGTTCCCATTGTGGTTGCTAAATAAGGACTATGTATATTATCCAATTTCAGCAATCCTGCATTTCTATATAGTAAATACTTTTAAAGATTAAGAAGAAAAGGAAATCATGTTTTTTTACTATTTATCTAGGATTTGAAACAGACAGAGGCCATCCAGCTTCTACAGGCTCAACTAACAAATATGACATTCATTGTTTCCAATTTATCATCAACAGTAGCTGAACTAAAAAGAAAGGTAAACATCTAAATAATATGAAAGAAACATGTTTTAAAATTTAGGTACCAATATTTATATTTTGAACACTGTGTTTTTTAAAAAAATATGAAATACTAGTAATGGGCGTTTAGTTTCATAGAAGATAGATTTTAATTAGAGTTCAGTCATATGGCTTCATCAAAATAATTGATCTTGAAAATGCTAAGTTGAAATGCATTTTACAGTCCATAACTAACACTTTCATGTGAAAAGGTTGTCTACAATTGTTAGTCATTTGAAGATATGCTTATGTGTTGCCAACTGATCTGGACAAAATACTTTAAAGTATTTTGAATAGGTTTTCTGTAGGATAATAAGCTCCTTATAATAGGAAGAATTAAAAGATAACCAGTAACAAATTTATGGCAGGCTTCTTACTGTACATATCTGTAGGCTGACATAATTGAATCCAATTATGGTATAAATAGAGCTATTCCCATTAATAACATAAGGCTGTACTGTGATGACTGTATACAAGCAAATAGTCAATTTTCATTTCTCAGTAGTTTTTAAGAGAATTGTAGAAATTTGTATCATGGAATAAGCTTGCATGAGGGAGATTCTATACAGAGTTGTATGTATTTAATTCCAATCAGTTAGGTCATACTATTGAATGCTATCCATTATAGCTGACATTCTGTTGGACTTAAAGGGATACCTATGGGGGCAATAAGAGGAAAAGGCTTGAATCCATGGAGCAGGATGAGCAGCTGTATCTAGAAGCAACTGCTCTAAGTAACAACAGAATAGAGAGTTATAGCTACATGATATAGAACAGTGGTTCTCAACCTGTGGGTCGGGACCCCATTTGGGGTCGAATGACCATTTCACGGGGGTCGCCAAACAACACAGTCCGCCATTTTTTTCCCCTTTTCCTTAGCTGTGCTACTCCCTTTTATTCTATTGGCTTTTGAACGCCAATAGAATAGACTCTCTTGAATAGAGTCTAATTCTATTGACTTTCAAAAGCCAATAGGAATTGTCCAGGCTGTCTCTGCCCTGCTGAGCCCGCCAAAAGTCCCATTCTGCAAATGGTACTGTACCAGTTGAGCAGTCCTTGACTTACGACCGGTTGAGTAGTCCTCGACTTACGACCAGTTGGGGGTCGCGGCATTAAAAGGTTGAGAACCACTGATATAGAATAAGACATTTTCATTTCTATGCCTTGACAATTTTTTATAGTCTATACCAAAGGTCCCCAACCTTTTGGGCACCAGAGACTGGTTCCGCGGAGAGAGGTTTTTCCGTGGACTGGAGGATGTGTGGTTTTGTGTGCTGTCTGCATCTCGCAGATGGGGCTTTGCTTGTTTGTGCGGCCCAGTTGCTGGCATGCGGTGGCCAGATACTGGTCCACGGACAGGGGGTTGGAGACCCCTGGTCTATACCACAGGTGTCAAACTTGCTACGTCATGTGACATGTTGCGACGTATTGTGACTCTTTGTATTGCTGGCAATGAAGTGGGCGTGGCTTTGGTATGATGACAGCGGCCCGTGGGCTGGCAGTTTGACACCCCTGGTCTATACACTCAATTATCATAGCATAAAGTGACCTTTACCACTTCGTTAACTGCTAGATTGTTCTATTTCAAGCACAAAAGATTTGGCACAAATGGTATGCTTTTTTCACCAATTTTATGTTTGAACAGTATTTATGACTATCATAGCTGCTATAAATGAATGTGATTGGGTAGAAAATATCATTTTGCAGAGAGGCTAAGAGAAAATAATTGTATAAGATCTGAAAATGCATCAAAGAAGGAAACTTTAGCCCTAAAATACAAACTTCTTGGCACTTACAAGTTTGGTCTTACTGTCTCTGTTAAGAGTCTGCTAGATCCATTTCAACTATCTCTCTGGATCACCCACATGCAAGTTCAAAAATGCACATACATAAACTCTCTCCCCCCTCAAAAAATAGGTTGCTCCATAGGCTTTTCTAATCTTACCTGTATTATGTGCAGTCCTTTCAACCCTAGCTCCAAATTCCTTCTCTATACCAGATTGCCTTACACTCTTCCCTATTCCATCCCCAAACCCCACATTTCCTGTTCCACCTACATGGGAACCCTTCTAGAGAAGAACTAGCTTCATTTTGTTCACCTTTCAGAGATGTATCTTGGAAATAAAAATGGCAAACATTCCTGGCAGCCTGGGAAAGAAATTAAACACCAAAACAAAATTAAATTACTAGAAGACAACATGGGTTTATCAAAAGATTTATTGGCAGACCTTATTGCATTATTTGACAAGATTAAATTAATGGACAAGTGAAATGCTGTAGACATGCAGGTAGTCGTCCACTTACGACTACAATTGAGCCCAAAATTTATGTGACTAAGCAAGGCAGTTAACTGAATTTTGCCGCATATTACAACCTTTTCCCCATAATTGTTAAGTGAATCACTGCAACTGTTAAGTGAATCATGTGGTTGGCTTCCCCCACTGATTTTGCTTGTCAGAAGCCAGCTGGGAAGTTTACAAATGGTGATCACATGACCCTGGGACAATGCAACTGTCATAAATACATGCCAGTTGCCAAGCACCTGACATTTGATCAGGTGAGCCTGGAGATGCTGCAATGCTTGTAAGTGTGAAAACCACTCATAAGTCACTTTTTTCAGTGCCATTGTAACTTTGAATGGTTGTAAGTCGAGGATTCCCTTTAAATATAATAATAAACAAGAACAAGCAATAAAAGACAGCAAATTGGAAAAGATGAAAAACAAATCTACACCATTTAAAGAAGCATTCAAATACCCTTGCCAATGCCTGGGCAAATAGCCAGCAATTTCCAAAATCTTAGAAACACCAGCATGGTGGGCCTGTCTGATTCTTGGGGCTTATTCCAAAAAGCAGGTGCTGTGACAGTGCACTTTCAGGACCTGATAGCTTTATTTAATCAAAGGTACCCAGAGTGTGCCAACCCTGCCAAACTGAAACAATGAGGAAGGTATTACAGCAGACAACCTGTAGTATACTTGGCTTCAGTAAGGACCGAGTAGATCACAACCTGCTTCTTGTTGAGATACGAATATGTGGAATGCACTGCATCACCACCAGATGGATTCCTAACTGACCAACCAACCACCCTCACCATGTAATCTTCAATGGAAGTACATCTGCAGGAAAGGAAGCATGCAGTGGGATACCACAAGGTTCTGCCTTATGCCCAGTACTTTTCAATATCTTTACAAATGATTTAGATGAAGGGATAGAAGGGGAACTCATCAAATTTGCAGACAACAGCAAACTGAGGGGAGTAGCCAAGGCTTTAGAAAATAGGCTCAAGATCCAGAAGTACTTGAACTCTGGGCCCTATCCAACAAAATGCAATTCAGTGGTGAGAAAAGTAAGGTTGTAAGGCAAAAAAAAAAAAAAAAGGCACAGGTATAGAATAAATCAGTGGTTCCCAACCTGTGGGCCATGAGGGGTTTCCAACCAGGCTGCGGAAACTGCCAGCGAGCGCACGTACGTGCATCCTCACTTGCACAAGCAGCTGGCAAGCGCATGCACATGCTCCATTTGTGTGAGCGGCAGGCACGCATGCACATTGCTTGTGCAAATGGAACTGTGAGCGTGTGCCCACCCTTGCTGGCCTCTCATACTGAACCATCCCATCCCCCTGCCCATCTGCAAATCTGGAAAGGTTGGGGAACTCTGGAATAGATGGTACTTAGCTCAACAGCAGTAGCTGTAAGAAGGATCTAAGTGTCCTAGTGAACCACCACTTAGGTATGAGCCAGCAATGTGTTGCAGTTGCCAAAAAAGCCAATGCAGTCCTAGGCTGCCTCAACAGCGTGATTGTATCAAGATCACATGAAATGTTAGTACCACTTTATACTTTTTGGGTAAGATCACACTTGGAATACTGCATCCAGTTTCGGTCACCACGATACAAAAATGATGTTGAAACAGAGTGTAGAGAAGAGTAATCAAGATGATTAGGCGCTGAAGGCTAAAACACGATGAGCAATTGAGGGAACTGGTTATGTCTAGTATAACAAAGAGAAGGACTAGGGCTGACATGATAGTAGTCTCAATATTTGAGGAACTGTTACAGAGAAGAGGAGGTCAACCTATTCTCCAAAGCACCTGAAGGCAGGACAAGTAACAGGGAAACTTAATCAAGGAAAGATCCAAGCTACAACTAAGAAATTTCTTATCAGTGAGAACAATTAATCAGTGGAACTGCTTATTCTAGAAGTTGGGGATGCTCCTTTACTGGAGGTATTTAAGAAGAGATTGGGCAGCCATTTGTCCAGAATGGTATAGGGTCTCCTACTTGAGCAGGAGTTTGGGCTAGAAGACCTCCAAGGTCCCTTTCAAGTCTATTATTGTGTTATTAAAGTAAATCACAAATAGAAGAAGGACAGTTGATATATTTGGAAAGTGTTGGGGACAGTTGCCTCTGCAGAGATTACATTACTTAGTTAGATATAGGTAAAACTTATTAATATAGCATAGATACTCATTTATATATATATACAGTTACTTCTATATTTAACTATGATTATACAATCTATACAATTTCTTTTTCAGGTTTCAGATCACCAGAGTTACCTTGTGATTTCTTTGCTATTCTGTGCCATTCTAGTTTTCATATTTTTTCTGCAACGTTGCAAACACAGACCAGAATTGAATAATGATTACTTTTCAAAGGTTCTCAAAAGTAATCACTGTCCTAGTCCTAAAAGGTAACTTATTTCTCAGGTTTATTATTTTAGTCTAGATCAGGCATGTCAAACTGCCAGCCCGCGGGCCAGATGCATCATGCCAAAAACGCGCCCACCCCATTGCCCGCAATGGGGAAAAGGTCCCGATATGTCACGCGATGTCACGTGACGTTGCGTGTTTGAAATGCCTGGTTTAGATCAATCAGGAAAACTAAGAACAACTGCATACTAAGACATACTTATGACTAAACTTATAAAATGCTTTTCATTACATAAATGCTTTCCATTATATAAATATGTAGAATGGAAAGTATGTTGAGGTGTGAAATTTATGAATGTATGAAATTTATGAATGAAAATTATGTGAAAAAGTGAAATTTTCAAAAGGCTTTTGAAAGAACCTTGCCACTCAGGATAACTTGTAGATAGGTCATCAAAAATAGCTTAAAAACAGTTGCTCATCCTTCTAGCGCACGGGTGTCAAATTTGTTGCATCACATGACGTGTTGCGACATACCACAATTTTTTTTGCATTGCCGGAGCTGGAGTGGGCATGGCCTCTTCATGATGCAACAGGCCGCGGGCTGGCAGTTTGACATCCCTGTTCTAGCGGGAAATAAAATAAATAAGCTATTTTAGTATTTATCTCCATTTAGCATATTGAAACAGTAAACACAAAAAAAGAAAGCAACACTCAATTGCAGAATATTATTACCCCCTCTCCTATGGGCTCTAACTACCAAAATAGTTACCAGAAATTTGCCTCTCCCTTGCAAAAGCAGGAGATGATGGCTCTATTTAGAAGCCACTCAGCAAGAACTAATGAATATGGAGTTTGAGCATTTGCTCAATTTGGTTCTAATTTCTCATTTCACAATGCACATCATGCTTTATTTCTTGAGTTCTATAAAATAAAGAGAATGTAGAATATACAATGGTATAAAGTTGTTTATCCTTTGTACAAACACATTTGAACCACTTAACAAAGTTTCTGAGTGCACTTTCAGTTTATATATTATATATATTATACAAATATCTCCAAATGTTTGTTTGTTATCAGAAAAGATCTGAAATAGTGTATTATCTCATTTATCCATCACAATAAATTTGAGTAAAACGTTCTCCTGTATTTAAAAGGCATTTTCACATTTAATGGCTATAAAATAATGTCACTTTTAGAAATTTATCTTGCTTAACCAGGAAAATAAATTGATAAATCTTTCTTATGAGTACACAATGCTTCTCCAAATATTGGGGAAGCACAACTCCCAACAAATATATTCAATACAGAAAAATCCTGTGAGATACAACTTGGCAGTAGGTGTACGACTATACGTTGTTACACTCCTTGGAGATTTGTAAACTTCAACATGCATGCAAATTTCTGTAGCAATATAAAGCCTATACTTGGAAATGTAATGCTTTTACAGTAAGCTCTTGTGCTAAAGGATAATTGGAAAATAGAAGCAATAGGTTTCTCAGAATGCTTCTAGAGTAGGAGACTGGATTTTAGAACTTGGACAGGGAAAGCTATTTAATGTACCTTTGGAGATAAGGCACTGTTTTTCTCCTGCAGGTGTATTTCTTCCTATGATGATATGAATGCGAAAAGAAGAACCTCCTTTCCACTCACTAGGTCTCATTCTTTTCAGCTAAATAGCAAAGAAGGTAAGGATAACTATGGTTTAATTACTTGCTTCTACAGATTGCTGGTGAAATCTCTACTGTATTTCAGTTCAGAATAGTTTTCATAATCCGCATTATAATTTGTTGCAGAAATATAGAAGTTAGTGCAATTAAAACCTGATATGTAGTCAGATACGTTTGTTTGTGAATGTGTGTTAGCATTATTTTGGGTAGCTGTGCAATAAAGCAAACATAGGTCCACCAAGTGCTGCTATCTTTAGCAATCCTTCCCCAGAGACAATTTATCAGGAGGATTTTGACTATTAACCAAATATTGTGCTTTCAAAGCTGAGAATAAATGGATTTTGCTTTAGAAGTTTAAGAGTGCTATTGCTATTTGACTTTTATTTTAATTTCCTTTAGAACCTCCTATAAACTGATAGATCATTACCACTTTGTGGCACCACAAAGACTTGTATGGTCCTATAATATGGTGCTCGTGGAAGACAAAATTTCAACAAAGTTGAAACATTAGAGATAGAAGATACATATCTCTGAAGGTTCTCGATCTTTAGCTTTAGCATCTTGTTTTATCTTTTAAATTGTGCCTGTTTCTTGAAGTTCCAGTATACTTCCAAATCAATTTTGATGTACCCCTAACCTTTCCCCTGCAAGGTAACTACAGATTATGTTGCAACTGGCACATGAGCAGATTTTGTGAATTCTTTTGGAATTCACAATGAAATTTAAATGCTTGTTTTTGATTAGGTACTCTCTTGGCAGTTAGAGGTACATCAAAATTGATTTGGAAGTACTGTTTCCCAAATAAAGATTGACAAACTAAAAATAGGGGGTTGCCCTATTCTCCAAAGCACTAGAGGGCAAGACAAGAAATAATAAGTGAAGAACATTAAAGGGAGATTCAACCTAGAACTAAGGAAAAATTTCCGGACAGTGAGGACAATCAGTGGAACCTCCTGGAGTTGTGGGTGCTCCATCACTGGAGGTTTTCAAGAAGAGATTGGACAACCTTGAGCTAGTGAGAATAGAACTGCTGGCAGTCAAGACAGAAGTACATCAAAATAAAAAATAAAAAAGCAAAGATACAAAAAAAAAAGAATGACTTCCAACTTCTTTTATAGCAGATATAAATAAAGCTTATGCTAAAGGTAAGATTTATCTTGGTGTGTCCGTTGTAAATGCCCTTTCAATATCATTTTTATTTTGTCTGATAAAATTTGTTCTACATCTTCAGTAACATCTTTTGGACATTATCTATGGAAACAGATGTAATTACTGTCATTGTTGATATTGTAGCTACTATTTTCTGATTCCATTCTTCAAAAGTCTCAGAGTTTTTATTGTCATGACATTTTATATAATAACAATAGAACTTAGACTTATATACCACTTCACAGTGATTTACAGCCCTGTAAAAGCGGTTTATAGAGTCAGCATACTGCCCCCAACAATTTGTGTCCTCATTTTACTGACCTCAGAAGGATGGAAGGCTGAGGCAACCTTGATCCAGTGAGAATCAAACTACTGGCAGTTAGCAGAATTAGCTTGCAATACTGCATTCTTTTTTTTATACAAATATTTTATTGGTTTTTAACAATAATAATCTCCAGTGCATGGTGTACAGCGTGTTGTCTTGGTTTATATATTTGAAAAAAAAGAAAAAAAAAGAAAATAAAAAAGGCAATAATAATTAATTACCAGTCAATAATGATTAAATTTGATAATTCCATAATTAGTATATTAATTAATAATATATTTCCTTGATTTTCCCTTCTCCCATTTGTATTCTCCTTCAACCTAAACCAAAATATAATTCTTAATATTTTCAATATATAAATAATTAAATATAGACATTTTTCATACTTATACAAATAGTAATAACATCTATATATAACACATTTTTATCAGCTTATATTATTCTTATAACATCATCTCATTCATTCACCATGCATCCTATTTTCATGATTTTTGTTTAAGCTTAATTTTTCCTTTTATTCAATCCATTCTTATCAGTCATTATTTTCTCAATATTAATCATCTAAATATCCATTTTTTCCATTTAAGTACACCATCCCAATATTTTCATATTTCATGTGTTATAAAAATACTGTGCTTCTTGTCTATCATAACATCTGGGTATAACATCCTTTCTGATCAGCTTATATTTCATAATTATAAAAGTTACATCATCCCAATATTTTTACATTTCATATATTGTAAAACTTACTATATTACTTAAATCTCTTATCCCTCTTGTTATAGTCTTTTAACCATATTCAAACAAGTGTTTACTCATGTAATACTCCATCTGATAGGGCGAGTCAAATCTCTTGATTCTGTCTCTTGCCGAATAGCTTTCCTAGTTGATATATTCTGCTTACCTGGAGGTTTCTGTGTTTTTGCAAGTATTGTTGGGAATACAGAAGATAGAATAGGTAGAATATATACTGTCAACACTGCTAACATTGGATGTTCTTGCTTTGACAAAATATGAAGAGGCAGCCACTCTCTGTATAAGTTGTGTGGAACTTTTAGAGTTAAATCAAATAATACTGGGAGGGGAGGAGAAAGAATGTGTGTGGAGATTAGTTAAGATAAGAAACAGAAGGGAAACTTTGCCCTTCAAACTAATTGGAGAACGTGATTTATGACTCCAAATTAGAGGAAGGAATTATACTTGAATATTATGTGCTCAGGGGAGGGGAATTCAGATCTTGGCATCCACCATGTTGTGCCAACACTTTGTTTCACGATTAAAGACTTTTTAGGATAAACAATGCCTGAAAGTTCTTTGAAGTATTTCGTTAGTCGGAACCATGACATATATTTTCTGTTTCCCAAACTCTAATAATTCTCCTGGGAATTCTATAGTCCACTCCATTTTTATTGTTATATCGAAATCTTGTAGATTTTTTCCTATTTGTATTGGATTATAATTCTTTTCATTTGTAGTTTCATCAATATGGTCATGTTCTTCCAGTTTGTGTTCTGTTATCTGTTTTGTTTGTTCATTCATCATTTTCTGGGTGGTTTTTGATTGTAGATTTAGATTGGAGATGTGCTTATTTATGTTGTCAGTTGTTCTGGATTTCCTTGTGGTTTACATCTATTGTCTTTTGTATCTCCTCATAAAATTGCGTATATTTCCAAGTATTTGTCTTGCCTTGAAATATTACTTCTGAAAGTCTTTGATATTCCAGGCTAAGTCCTTCAGGAGTGAATATTGAGTGTGGTGTCCTGTCATTTGTTGATAAGTGTACGGTATCCATGTTGTCTCCCCCCTTCAAATAGTCTTTCATTAATATTTTAATTCAGAAGTTAATTATCAGTCAGTCAAAATTGCAATTCAGTATGTTAAGCCACCTTGAGTCCTTCCTGTAGATTCTCCTCTAAAAGATTAGCCAAGAGCCAAAGTTTTTCTTTTTCTTTAAACAATTCTTAGATTTAGTCAACAGTTCAGATATTTTTCTTTCAGACACTTTTTAATCTTATGGCTAAGATTAAAGCTCTTACTTTGTTCCCAGCTGTTTTCAAGGTCATATAAAATTTAAAGGAACAGATTATTCTTTGTTTCATAGGCGTCCTGCCAGTTTCTGAGTCATTATTGTTAGTGTTCTGTGCTCTGATTCTCCACTAAAACCCTTTTAGGTGTAGTCTTAGCAGGTTTTTTTTGGTTTCTATATTTGTGCAGACTGTAGTATTTTAAATTTAATTTCCATATATTTCTTTCCCCCTTAGTATTAATTCGCTGCTTCCGTCTATGAGGGAGTGGGGATATAGTCCCCTCCCTTCACTTTCGGAGGTTTTCTTGCTTTGGGGTTCTTTCCCAAGGATTCAGTTAGTAGATAGAAGAGAGAAGATCGATATTTTCATCAGTTCCTAGCACACTGTTCACTGATGTTCTTGTTCATGCTCTTGGATTTTGGTTGAAGGTAGCTTGGGCTGGACGCTGATGCAACGCCAGCCTTTCTCCTGTCGGGTCAGAGGGTTTCCCCTGGATCGAACGATTAGATTTGCTTCAACTATGTGTTGAAGAAAAACAATTTTTATATAGTCATTATTCTTCCTTAGTTTTAGATTTACAAATAGCTTAATCATCATTTCCATACTATCTGTCTTACTTTTTTCCCACATAGATCCCATTTGTGTGATCTAGTCAAAACAAAAAAATTGTTCTCATTCAGTTGATCTCATTCAATAACAGTGTTTTATATTTTTTTCACAGAACTCATCTTTGGTTCATTTATTTTTCACTGGTGCATAACATGCAGTAATGACAATTATGGATACCTACTTTCATGCACAATCATAACAACCGAGCTTGCACTATATTTTCTGACACAGATTTTAGCCCTTTGATTCCTAATTAAACCCTTCCATTGATTTGCATTCAATGACGAATCCCAGATTATGATGTAGTTAGAGATTATCTAGTTCAATCTCTGTTTGGTACAAGGATCCATTATCCCAGCATTTCCAACAGATGTACATCCAGCCTTTGTTTAAACATCTCTACTGAAGGAGAGTCTGTATCAGTGATGGCAAACCTTTTAGAGGCTGAGTGCCCAAAAACTGCCCCGCTCCATGCCCCACCCTGCCTGCTTGGCCCCCGCTTCCCCGCAAGGCCACCCATTGCCTCCACAGCCCACCGCAGTAGGCAGCCCAGCAGCACCGTGGAAGCCATGCCCTCCCCCCAGGCCCCACAGCATTATCTGCACACGACGGCGCGAGGGCCGAGTCTTGTTCCCGCTGCTTGGCTGCGCTGCTCCCTGCGGACTGAGCTCAGGGGCGACTCTCCTCCAGGGGGCTGCTGGTGAGAAGGGGGTCGCGGGGGGAGGCAGGGCTGGTGTGACAGTGTGCGTGCCCACAGAAAGGGCTCTGAGTGCCGCCTCTGGCATGCATTCACCACCACTAGTCTATATCCTGAAGTTGCCTATTCCATTATTAAACAGGTTTTTACTATTAGAAGATTTTATCCGGTGTCCAATTGAATTTATTTCCTTGAAATATAAATCCACTGA